CAGCCCTCTGAGACTGCGAAGTCTAAGACTTCTGACACCAACCTCAAGTTTGGGGTTTCCCAAAACGACCTCAGATAATTTGCTAGAAAGACTCGTAGGACTCCAGGAAACACTACACTTCTAGTTTTATTATAACAAAAGGATACAGAGCAGAACTAGCCAAAGGAAGAGACACATGTAGAGGGCAGACTTTAGGACTGGGAGGCCCCTGGCACAAAGCTCCCATGTCCTCAGCAATACACTACCCCCCGGTGTCAATGTGGAACAACAAGACAGAGTGCTCACCTGAGCTTCGAGCTTCGGGGTTCAGAGTTTCTGACTGGGGTTTCACTCTGTAGCCATATTTGACTGAATCCCTGTCGGGCTGATGTCACTTGGCTCAACATCCCAACCCCCCAATCTCACGTTCGCTCTTTCCGTGGCCGGCCCCCATCCTGAACCATCTCATTAGCATAAACTCTCTGGGGACCAAGCCTGCAGGGTGGTCCCAGAAATAAAATCCTGGGGTCTACAGGTTACCTCCCAGGAACCAGAAAGAAAGGCAAATCAAACTTTTTTTTTTTAAGATTTTATTTATTTGAGAAAGAGAGCGTGGGGAGAGGGGCAGTAGGAGCCGCAGGGGAGGGAGTGGAATGGGGAGAAGCAGGGAACCGGTGTGGGACTCGGTCCCAGGACCCTGAGATCACCACCTGAGCAGAAGGCAGATGCTTAACTGACTGAGCCCCCGCAGGTGTCCCTCAAATTCTTTATTATGCTTCCTTATACTCATTTCTATTTTTTTTTTCTAATTTAAACTGGCCAAGTTTGTCTACTTTATTTCCTTTATCAAATACCAAATTTTGCCTTTATTAACTCTAATGGTGTTTTCTATTTACGTCTTTAGTTCCTTCTGCTTTCCGGGAATTTATCTTACTGCTCTCCTACTAGCTTGTGTCTGTTTTCACCGAGGCGTGCCGTACGAGGAACATGAGTATTCCACTCAGCGTCCCGCCACGCCGTAGGCAAGCTCGGCTGGCACCCCTCCCTGGGGACGTCCCCGCACAGGGGCTCCCGTACCTGCGAGGGAGCACAGCTCTGCAGGGTCCCAGCGTGTTTGCACACCACGGCCGACCTCACCTGGGGGGAGCGGAGAGCTGTCGTCTGTGTAGGCCTGTTGCAATCCGGACTGCGTGAGCGTTACCGTCGATGTCTTCTGACGGACACCAGTACCAGTTTGGCTCAGATACCTGTGACCTCAATTGAGGGCCATGGATGGCCGGACGGCTGTTTCACAGGGGTCATGCTGACACACACAAGCACCAGGAACATATAGGGCTGAGGTGAACAACATCGGCCCTCACGGACCAGGAGGGACCACCGTACTCAGAGAACCTGGGAAGACACCCTGGGCTAGGCTGGGCTGGGCAGGAGGCGCTCTGTCCCCTCCGGGACCTTCCGCCAGACGGAGCTGCGGCTGAAGGCAGCGTCGCACCAGGGGACCCACTGACGCCATCTCTCTTTGATCTTAGGGAACAGACAGCACACACGTTGGAGTGCACATTTTTGGTTTATTCATCGAGGGGGCAAGGTGGAATCATGAACAGAAAGTTCTAGAAGACTCGCTGCCTCGTGAGCTGTGCTGCAGTTTTCCTGAAATCTACTTCTTGCCAACAAAGGTAACCATACATGTGCTGATTAGTGAGTCAAGCCTCCAGGCTTTCCCTGGGGGACACCAGCCCCTCCTTCCGGTCCCCACTCCCTCCGGCCTCCCTGGGACGTTTGATGATACACTTCAGACGGCAAACGACATTTAAAATAGCCCAACGTACTGAATGTGAACGACTGAAATAGATGCTACGCCAGCATCCAATGTTGCTTCTCAAGACCGTGTTCTGTGCAGTCCTGACGGTCAGTAGGAAAGTTCCAGTCTCTGGCGTAACCCGCATACGCAGCCACAGACCCAACCAGAAATGTGTGCAATTTATGACCATCCCCCAAATCTAGCATGTGGAAGGTGGGAGCTCCTGGTTTGCAATGTGACTATAGGAGTTTTTGTTTGTTTTTTTAAGATCTCTACTGACCGAGCAGATGCTTCTGAGCAGACAGATGCCGAGCTCTACACGTTCGAGTGCCCCGTCTACCAGACACCCGAGCGGTCAAGAACGCTGACGACCACTGGCTTACCGTCGACCTCTCTAACCTCAGTGTATCTACCCACGAGGAGACCTCCTAGTCACTGGGTCACAATGCAGGTTGCGCTGCTGTGTGAGAGGAATGAGAAATAAATGCAGGTACCAAACCACCTCCTGTTTGACTTGCCAGATTCATGTGTTTCGAGACCGTCGCGGGTAGCCAGCACCCTGCACGGGGACATCCGTGTTCACCAGCCCCCCGTGACCTGCAGGGGGACCCGCCGGCCACTCTCTGTGCTCAGCAGCAACCCAGGTGAGCAGGGCACCCTTTCCCGCACGTGGAAAGCTCCGTGCCCCACGAGCAACAGTGACCTCTGCGGTTATGCACAATACAAGAGACATGAGGGCTAGTTCTAGGGAATTCGTTCCCTGGCTGTGCGGAGCCCAGAGCGGGACCCCGCTGGCCTGACCGCGGGCCTCCGAAGACAGGCGGATCTTTTCAAAGGAGGGGTCCTGAGATGTCCCCAGCCCCAATCCCACTGGAACCCCAACCCCAAGCGGGCAGCACGCTCAGTCACCATCAAACTGTGCTTCCACCGGCAGGATCCTTATTACCGAGCGTGGCGTGGAGCACAAGTCGGAACTGGGGCCCTCAGGCCACCGCGTCCCACGGGGTGTTGGCAGCGGCTCGCATCTGGGCCAAAGCTGACGAGTCTCGCCAGAGCTCACTGTGCCTGGAGCGCACCCCGAAGCCACATCTGTGGCCCCTTCCCTCAGCAGCGGGCGCGTCGGCACAAAGCCCCCCGTGCGTGCGCAGACGACCAGCGAGCCGCTGCCTCCACGGCGAGGGGACAGCGCGGGGCCCACACCCAGATCCGTGCGCACCACCAACGGAACAGTAACATCTTACTTTTGTGTCGTCTACGAGCTTGAACTGTCTGAAGGTAACCGTCCAAAAGCCACATAAGCTAGTCAGACACAGCGGTGCTGAAAAGAATGAAGGAGACATAGTCGCTGTCGGTTAGAAACGAAGAAAACGATAGTTGACCCAATTCACTTGCTTAAGTAGCTTTCGGAATTAAGGCACAATTTACTAACCGTCCGTGAGCTCCGGAAGTCGGGGCCTCTTCTCCCGGCATCCAGGAGTAGAGACCGAGGTGAGATCTTGCCTTCACTCACAGACACACAAACACCTCACGACGGGCTCAGTCGCTCCCGTGCTTAGATGTTTGTGTGGCTCGTACAGGCTCGTGAGAGCGGGACCAACTGAATGGTTTTGATTGTTTCTCAATTTTCTCAAACAAGGACTAAATACATGGTCACGATCTGGGACCTGAGATCCTCAACTAAGCCCTTCCAGCTCCAGCCTATGGTGAGCCTCGATGCCAAGAGCCGTGGGCCCGTGGGTCCAGTTCGCCTTTTGGAGCCCTGTGGCCCCGGAGGGTGGCGGTGGTCCCCTCGGGGCTCCTGTGTTAGCACCAACGACCCCAGAGTCACAGGCAGGGAAGAGAGGCTCTCGAGTGCAAAGGACAACATCTTTTTTATTTCCAACTTTATTTCCAACTTAAAACTTCATCATGAAATTTGTCAAATGTGTCAAAACCAAAATGAACAATAAATCGTAGCTGAAATCCGGAAAGGCCACACTCTGCTGGCAGAGGCTCTCTTCTCCTTACTGGAGAAAGAATGAAACGTGCTCCTTCCTGCCCCCAGCTCCCTCGGTCAAACGAGCACAGAACACACGGGAACGCTCATTCCGACGCCAGGAGAAAAGCAGAATCCAAAAACTGCCTGCTTACGTCAGTGCGAAAAAACACGGGCAACTCCCCCAAAACAAGGCTTCAAGAGCAAACTGTCTTGGGGACCACCCTGACTGAGCCAGCCCCACACCGCCCAGAGGCCGCACAGAAGGGACACGCACACCCACGTATCTCACATGTAAAACGCATCCTTAAAAACCCAAACACACACATATTAAATTCCCCTATATTTAAGATACTGAGAACAATTTAACTTTGAACACAAAAATTTTAGCGAGTTTGCTACTGTTCCATTTTAAGACAATAATGAGACCCTAACAACTAGAACTCAACAGCTACAGCTAGCCGCCCTACACACAAGTATTAAACTAAAGGATTTTGAACTCTTGTTCTTCGATGAACGCCACCCTCCTTTCCAGGGAGCAGCGTCCTGCAGCTCTAGGGATGGTATAAAATATAGTCTGAACAGCATGACATCAGCAGTAGCAAAACCACAGTTTTATTTCAAAAAGTCAAAAAAACATACAAAAATATCAGCCTGAAATGGCAGGTTTTCAAACACCAATCTGTGTAAAAATGTTTAAATAGTGATGTTACTGCAAAAATATATATCCTATTTTTTTCTATGGGCAACAGTTTATAAAGGCAAACGAACGGCTGCGGTTGAGGTAGCAAAGCCAAATTCACAAACTTTGGATTAAGAAAAATAACCTTCCTATGTTTTAACAGCATCTTTATACAGCGTTAAATGAATTCTATTGCTTTGCCATTTTTAATCGACATGTATTTTTATAAAACTTAATTTAAAATACTGCAAATGTTTTTGTTAAAAAGATACTTAGTCCTATTTCACATTCAAAATACTGTACAGAAAAATCCGAGGTCCCCATATATTACACGAGAGCTGGGTATTTACACCTTCCAACGCAGCTCTAGAAGCTGAGGGCAAGCCAGCGGCTCCTGCCCACCTCGCCCCACCTCTCCCCAGAGAGCAGTTCATGCAGGACCGGGGTCCACACTCAAATCACTTAACTAGGAAAAGGAAATGGATGAAAATCCTCTTCTCTGAATAAAACAAAACACAAGTGCTTCGAGGGTCACAGTTGGTTTCATGTAAGAAAGAAATACCACTGACAAAACCATCACAATTTGAAAAGTCCTCAAAACCCATAGACACCTGTGTATCCTTTTCAGTGCATTGAGAAGACTTTTAAAAATGGAGCATTTCCCACTAGAAAGCTAATTCTAACACCTTCGCCTGTTTCCTTCTGTTCACGACTGTGATTTAGTAACGATAAACCTGGGGAGGTTAAAAGACCCCTTGGCTCCATAGTCCCGACTGGAGCAGGAGAGTGAGGACCAGCGGAGGCGCGGCGGCAGGGCGGGCAGCAGCGCGTGTCTAGTAGATGTAGGGGATGATGCGGTAGGGCACATGGCGGCGGTACTTCTCCCAGGCCAGGCCGTACTTCCTCCGGCAGTGGCGCTCGTCACGGGCCTCGCGGTGCACCAGCAGCACAGCAAAGTAGATCACGTAGAAATAGGGCAGAATGTGCTTAAAACCTGCGGAGCGCAACAGACGCGTGAGGTAGCTTCCCTGTTTGTCCCCCCAGTCTTCCCAAGTGGACCGTGGGATTGCTCCCTTTTCCCCCATGCTGGGGAAGCCCCCCACCCCCAACACGTGGCAGAAGACGGCATCTGCATGACAGGCTCTCCAGGGCGCAGGGCCAGCCACGCCTTCTCACACGCCCGTCCTCTCCTGGTCCTCACTGGGTCCTCGTGTCAATGTTAACTTCACTCCCCTAAGTGATCAGGTGTAGCGGCTAGTGTGGGTGTGGCTTCCTACCAGGGGAGTCACAGGCCCCCTGTGACCCCCCAACTGCCCCTAACCCCTACCCCCCAACACGGCACACATGGCGCCCCTATGCAGTGCTCACCACAGGGGAGGGACCACGCCAGGGCCATGATGAGATCACCCAAGTAATTGGGGTGACGAACGAAGCCCCACCATCCGGAAACTAGAAGATTTTTTCCGGTTGAAGTATGGATGGTTTTTAGATCTAGGTGAAAATAAAAATACATTTATAATGATCTCTACACCAATAGAGACGCAAAATCTTTATGCGAGGAAGATATAAATATAAACCGATACTTACGTGCAAGCTTTGGGTCACTGGGATTTTTCCGGAATGCATTTTTCTGAGAATTTGCACATCGGAAGATTACATATCCACAAACTGTAATTTTTTAAAATTTTCATGTTAACAATTTAGATCAATATAATCAAATACTTAAAAACATTTGTAACTTCACCTAGAAATGATTTCTTTGCTCTGAGGAAGTTTCCAAAGGATGGAATACTTTGAGAGGTTTTGAACTCAATCTCAGAATGTCAAAAGAAAATAACAATCCTGAAATTTCACCACCCACAAGGGGGATGCAAAACCAGCCCACACAGTTACATCACCAATGAAACCAAATACAGCCCCGCCTGTAATAATCCCATCAAGGCTGGTGTCGGCAGAATCCAGAACACAGGGTGCAGCCCCTGAAGCCCAGCACCTGCAAAGCTGGAACACGGACGCCCGGGGACTCGGAATCAAAGCACAGCTCAGAGCGGGACCAGGATGGCCTGTGCGGACACCGCCAAGTCCGCTGCCAGCCTACAAGCTGCCGGCTCTATTTCGGGCTTCAAAGGTCTAATGGGCCTTGACATATCCCAGCCTGTTCACCATACCGTCCAGCCTCCGGCCAGTGCAGGACACCTGGAACCCACCCAGAAACGAGGCACTCGCCGTCCTGAGCAACACCCGGGCCTGGCAAGCATGGGTCACCAAACCAGCGATGAAATGCAACCAACGCCAGGAATCTCCTCTTCTGCCACGGACACTACTTAGCGGAGTAAAACTCGCTCTATTTGACGCTCGTGCTGCTGTTCCTACCCCACCTCGGGTGCGGGCCTTTACCACACAGTGGCCTAGAGGAAGAGCCACCCTGACTCGCGTCCACATCGCTGGCGATGCTCCTTGTCTCCCGCTGAGCTGCACCCCGCCCCTCCCCACGCTTCCCCACCCGCTCACACGTGAGAGCAAACACCCTACCCTCCAGGGAGCCCTACACTGATGTTCCCCAGAGCGAGTCTGCTCTGCCTTCACCGTGACCTTCCTTGGGCTGTAGGTCCCTGCTAGTGCACCAGGCCTCACAGTGTCTGACAGCAGGCCGGCCTAGCACACCAGGACCAACCTTCCTGCATTCCAAGGTGCCCACCAGACAAAGCAGGCCTGCAAAAGCAAAACCACCAGAAAAGGAAGCATCCATGCTCTCTACGGGCGCAAGAATCTTCTTTACAAGGGCATCTGGGTGGCTCAGTGGCTTAAGTCTCTGCCTTCCCTCAGGTCATGATCTCAGGGTCCTAGGATCGAGCCCCACACGGGGCTCTCTGCTCAGCAGGGAGCCTGCCTTCCCCTCTCGCTCTGCCTGCCTCTCTGCCTACTTGTGATCTCTGTCAAATAAATAAAGAAAATTAAAAAAAAAAAAAAAAGGATCTTCTTTACAGGCATCACGAACTACTTCCCACCTGAGCTCATTACACCCGTTGAAGAGGGCGCATTGGGATGCGGAGCTGTCGGAGCACAGAGACTCGGCACACGATCTTTAACCCGCACAGACTCACTCAGTACTCACGTTTCAGAGCAATAATCAGAGAGGCCATGGGCCAGGACACTTCGTTGGGATGGTTGACGAGATAAAAGGCTTGCAAGCTATAGATGAAGGGAACCCACACTAAGTCTCCAAAAGCCAGCATGAATCCAAACCCGTCATGGGTGATGTCCATGGTTGTCAACAATGCTTCCTGCGAGCAAAGCGGGAAAAGCCATTTTTAATGCCCTTTGGGGGATGAAAGTTTCTATGTTTCAGGTATACCAAGTACTGGTTCCTAGTCAAATTCATACAGCACTAGGGGAGGGCACATCAACCAGAAGGGTTTTAAGGAGCAGGGGAGGGGGGCCTGGTTCCGGGGCACATGTCCCCCACCTGGTCACTCCACCGTCTCCATCTCGGGTCACCCGACCCACTCACTCCGCGATGTGGAAATAACGCATCTCGGAAAGGCCTCAGGTGCTCCTGCCTCTGCTCGGAGCAGCCTCCTCCGACCTCAGCCTATGTCCCCCTGCCCCGGCCACCACCCCCAAGCCTCCTAAGCCACCTTCCTGCTCCCCCCTCCCCGACCAGACCAGGTGCTTCTCGACGCTGCACCTGCATGCAGGCTAAAGCCACTCTCCGCAGCAGGCCAGAGGAGGACAGACGGGACATCGAGTGGTCACCTTGTCCCCAGCATACTGCGCGCCTGCTCCGCAGTATGTGTTCCCATTGTTTGCGGAAGAATAACATCACCAACAGCCTTTGCGTCCATTCCACGTGTACCCATCTACCTTGCGATCGCATCTGGCTTTTCCTGTCCACCCTCCACACGGGCCGCCTGACCTCCTCCGTGAGCAGACACGCCCTCTATGGGCCTGGTTGGCGTGGGCCTGGTTGTGCAGGCTGGACTCCGATGGGAGACGCCAGTGGGGCCAAAACTCAGGAGGCCCTGGGATTCCCCGAAGGAATCCCTATTGACAGAGGACAGGCGGCAAGTGTGCGCCCTGGGGAGGGACCGATGGCCCAGGTTAAAGAAACAAAGCAGTCACTCCAAAGACCGTTTTCCACAGAAAGACCATGGGACACAAGAATGGGGGTCAGCAAGTTCCTGCACGTGCCAGGTGATTCCGGGACGTGCACCGCTGACCACAGGGTGGTGGGGGCACAAGTGCCACAGGGAGCGGGCACAAGGGGACCCCAGGAGTCCCGCAGAGATGTCAGGGAACACTCGCCTGTGTTTCATCACATTTCTCAGTTCCTTCCAGTCACCCGACCTGGTGAGGCAACCCCCGCCGGGCACCTGGCCGCAGCCAGAGGCTAAAGGCAGCCTACACAGAGGTCCGTTCTTCCAGAAGGCTGCGGTGCCCACGAGGCATGGGGACGGCCCCGCCCAACCTCATCCCTGTGTCCCATCCCAGAGTTGACAACAGACACCATGTGGCCCAATGTCCAGAACCTGAGAACCCCCAGCCACATCAACGGGACCAGCACTGCGAGTCAGAAAGCCCCAATCACTGACAAGCTACCAGAAAGCGGGTTGGAAAAAAAAGCCTCTGAGACAATGAAGCAACAGGGAAGCCTCGTCCAGTTCAGGCCTCCAAGGGGCCACTTGCCACCTGACAGTGGGAGGCTACGCCCGCCTGACCAAGGGCACTTCTAGGTTTTCTTCTACAGCACGTCGCCCCAGGTGGAGATGCAGACCGCGGGAGGCTGCAGGAGGCCGCGGGAGCTCCCCGAGGCACTGGGCCAGCAGCTGAGGCTTCATGGCCTCCGAAGGCCCTACTGTTCCCGGAGAGAAGGCAGATCACTGGAAGACAAACAGCGGGCCTGCCGAGTCGCCGTGATCATGCTCCCAGCGGCCAGCCTGGCCACCCGACCCCACGGCCCACAGGAGCCAGCCCAGACTCCAGATGCCAACAGACTGGGACGCAAACCCGCTTCAGGACAAAAGGACGTCAGCTGCCCATTCTATTTTTAAAACTGAGAGAAAACTCAACTTGAGATCTGGAAACACAGATTACAAAGACACTAGGAAACCGGTAACACAGGGGTCAAACATCAACTTCAAGGCCAATCTGTTCAGCTAAGACAAAGAGTCTTCAAGGGGCAGAAAACACTGACTGCTGCTCAGCATGAGGGAAGCCACGGGTTAGGCGGCTGGACTTAAACCGGTTTCCTCCATCATCAGGACTTCTGACTTCTTATCCCTCGGGCCAGAGCTAGTATTTTGCACATTTTGAAACACAACCATAAAACTTCCATCACCCTGTATGGAAGAACTAACTGCCTCTTGACAATCCGAAAAGCACTATCCTAATTCAGTGATAATCTATCCTCTTTCATTTGACACAGTAGTTAAGAAACTGAGAGTTACTGAGGAATCCGTCACACTTGCAGATCTTGAATCTGTCACACCCAGGAGCAGCCGAGACACAGCGGCACCAGCAAGTGCCCGCGTACTGGGCGTTAGCACTCACCGTGTCCGCTCCAGGCTCCGCGCTGGCCTGGGAGGGTGTGGAGGGGTGCAGGCTAAAGCCGCTCTCCGCAGTAGGGTGCCGAGGGGTGCATGAGGGAGGCGGAGGCCCCGAGAGCTCAGGCAAGCCGCCCACCTGACTCCCGAGGCCTCTGCTCTGAACATAATTACCTCGTTCCAGAGAGCATCCACCACGTACAAGAGCTGGAAACTGTTCACCAAAATCATCGCCAAGGACGGAGTGGCTTGATTCTGTACCTTCATCTCCGCCAAAAGCATCACCAAGTTCACAACCACCTGAAAGAAGGGCAAGTACCGGCTCTGAGTGCCTCCCCAGACCCCTGGCTGCCACCGGGGGAGACGGTCGCCTCACTGCCGAGAGAGCCACAGTCGCCAATGACCACAGAGTGACCTGCGGGGCCGAGACACCAACACCACACACCGAGGTGGGACTCCCCTGGCAGGACACAGGGTCACCTCCATGGTGCTCTTATCAAAAACGCATCTCCAATCAGGAGAAGACGGCAGGCCCTCTACACAGTATGTGACCGGCACGCTGCAAGGGGCAAGGTCCCATGAGCCGGGGAAAAACTCCAAGAGACAAAGCCAAATCACAACCACATGCATTGGAGGCCTATCTGGCAAGGGTCCCAGGACAGAGAAGGCCAACAGTGGAAAAAGAAGGGAAACCCAACAGGTCTGTGGATTCAGCTGAGAATACCGAACAATGGTTACCCCCAGGCCTCGAGGCTATGTGCTTGTGCCTCATGTTCATGCGGGGGACAAGCAGGGAACAGAAGGGAATCCTGACTCCATTTCTGCAACTCCCCCACAGGTCTAAAATTAGGTCAAAATTCATTTTCTTTTTGAAGAGGACAAGAATACATTTTTTCCTTACATGAAATTTGCCTAGACTATCACGTTCCTAATAAATACACTGACAGAATCAAAATAAACCCTTAATGCTTCACACCTGTAACAAGGGCATCTTAACCACATGGACTCTATTTGCAGGGAAAAAAAACTTCAAATACAGATTTGTAGAAATCTGTAATTGCTCCTAAAAGCAACTATAATTATTCCTAAAAACCCACAGCTTCCTCGAAATGATCTACAGTTTTTTTCTAAATGCGAGATTAATGTGTACTCCTGGACTGAAATTTAATGAGAGGAAGAGGACATACCCATCCGATCAGTCCGGGACGCAATTCACAGAAGTATTTGAGATCAAAAGTACCAATCCGAGGATTAAGCTCACGGCCAATGAAGAAATCATAGACGGCGTTTCCTGGAAGGGAAAAGTTCTTACACAAACAGTACAGCCACTGGGAGGTTTATGGCGAGCACGGCCGCTACCCCCAGGGCCCTAGTCCAGCCACTTGGGGGTCCAGCAGGTAGTGGGCGGGCAGGTGTGCACACCAGTGAGGACGGGGCGTGAGGACCTGACTGGAAGCAGCGAGGCCTCGAGGGCCAGAACTCCTGAGTTTAAGGAACCAGAGCTTTTTTAAAATGTAGACTCACAGTTTTCTAAAATAAGCAACTTCGTATTTTAAAATGTTTGAACACTTTAGGTCAAGAGTCAACCTATTTGTGATCTCTGTGACTTGGCTTGCTCTCTTTGAGGATACTGAACTACTTGAGACCAAAGAAGAAAATCCTAACTTGTGATGCTGAGATGACTAAAACACTGGGGACTAGACATAAGTCATGACAACAAAAGGTCTTGTCATCGAGTGACTGAAAAAGGAGGAGAATCGACTAGGAGCATAGGAGGAAAATACTGAATATATTTTTTCCCTTTAAATGTATTCTCCTTTCCGAATTGACTCCATGCCATTCTCCCTTCCTCCCCCTGGGGGTGCGCTGCTCACCAGAGCTGCCAGGGGCCAGGGCAGCCAGGGGGGCACCCGCAGCCCGTACGGCCAGGTAGGCGCTGAGGCCCACGGTGAAGGCGAAGGCAGCCAGCGCCAGCTGCAGGAAATGGTCGTAGACGTAGAGCAGCTCCAGGCCCCAGAACACGGCCGCCCCAACGGCCGCGGCGGTCAGCAGGAAAGCATAGAACCCTGCACACGGGGCAACACAGACACGTTAGCGAGGCCCGGGCTCAGCCCGAGGCAGGGAACCTCCTGGCAGAGCCGTGCGCTCGCCCAGCTTTCCACCTGCTGGAACACACTTAAGGTCTCCTTGTGCATTATCAACAGTCATTATGTGCTTTTAAGAGAAAGCTGAAAAGTGCACAGAAATTCACTATTAAAAAGCTGAGAAGGGGGGATTCCTGAGTGGCTCAATTGACTGTGGCTACCTTCAGCTCAGGTCATGATCTCAGGGTCCTGGGACCGAGCCCCTTGCTCAGCAGGGAGTCTGCTTCTCCCTCTGCCTGTTGCTCCTCCCCTGCTCGCGTACTCTCACTCTAGCTCTCTCTCAAATAAAGTCTTTTAAAAATACTAATGAAAAGGTAAAATATAAAAAAGGAGGGAAAGGGACCCAGGGGCCTCTTGGAGCAGTGCCGTGACAGGGCTAAAACAGCGGCCGTGGGACGCTCATGGGGAGGAGAGGACCATGTTCCAGGCAGGAGCCCTGCGAACGCAGCCGAGGGATGTGCAGAGGCCAGTGGCTGTGGCAAAGAGAGGCTGGCTCTCGGGGCAGGAGCAGCCAGGAAGGCCACACAGGATGGGACCTCCTGGGCCAGGCAGTAACCCCAGAGGATAAAGTACACAGACTAGGGTGATCGCTTTACTCAGTGGTAAGTATTAGCAGGAAAAGCAAACTGGGTGGCGGCAGGAGCACCCCAGGGGCCATCCCCACACATGGCACGTGGAGCCCACAGGTCAGCGTGAGTCCCGGGGCAGCCAGCAACATGGACACATGCAGGAGCGCAGTACCCACAGGCTCTGAGCGAGCATCAGATCTGAGTGTTAAAAAAATAAAATCAGGAGCACCCAGGTGGCTCAGTGGGTTAAGCCTCTGCCTTCAGCTCAGGTCATGATCTCAGGGTCCTGGGATCGAGCCCCACATAGGGCTCTCTGCTCAGCAGGAAGCCTGCGTCCCCCCCTCTCTCTGTCTGCCTCTCTGCCTGCTTGTGATCTCTGTCTATCAAATAAATAAATAAAATCTTTGAAAAACAAATAACCATTCAATCTATACTTGAGTCTTCTTCCATCAGTAAGAGGCATTCCTTCCACAACCTGAAAAGAAAAAAAAGTTTTTTTAAATTTGAAGCTTTAAAAAGCACAACACTCTCCCAACATCTAAATCCTAAATTTCACCACCTTTCAGCAGCATAGACAGTGACAGGTGGCAGACATATCAGTGGCACGTCATGTGGGGAACCCTGCGGGGCTGGGTTCCAAGACATCTTGGGGAAACTGCTCGGCCCGGGCTGCTGGACCCCTGGCCCCGGCCCGCGAGCACTGGTTGGCCACGCGCTTGGAAGGCAGCTGCCGCAGCTGCAGGGACACAGCATAAGCCCATTGTCCCACGGCTGAGGTCCTTGTCTGCAGCCGCCCACTCCAAGCCCGGCTACCCTGCCCCCCTGCCCCACGCCACATGCAGACTCATCCCACAGACTTACGTGGTCTTGGTCCACACACACACACACATCCTCTCAGCCGTTCCATGAACCGTCCATGACCAAGAGCTAGGGAGCAGCCCGCACATGCACTCAGGAAACACACACACCTCCCTCGGGCTGAGTTTAAATAACGTCCGCCCGCCCGAGGGCAGCCACATCCTACTCCCCAAAATGACGCTCAGCAATGCTGCCTCGTGTAGGAGACAACGACATAGTGTCAGTCTGGGGCCGGACTCCTCCCCCTCGTTGGCTCGGACAGGGGACCCAGGCCTGGGGGCCACGGGGGTGGCAGCAGAATCCCACATGCGGATTTCCAGCGCCCCCTGTAGGGTCCTTATCTAATAACCACCACACGCGGCTCTAGCCTGTAAACGCGCAAGAACAGACACATACGTGCAGATCTATCAAATCCGTAACCGCGGAAATTGCTTTTCTTATTCAACATTACCTAGTTTAAAGGTGGCTTACCTCAGCTAATCTGAATGTGTGTCTACACTGTAGAGCTTTACCCTAAAGATGCCTGAGGTGGGGGGAGGGGAACCACAGCAGTGTGCCCTCCCAGCGGGAACTTACCTTCCCGATCGGCAGGAGGTAGAACAGAGCCTGAAGAAAAAACCAGAGCAGATAGACCCCGAACACTCTGGTTTCCCACAGATCAGACAAAGCTGGCAACGGAGGTGGGAAATTCAGAAGACGGGGCTCCTTCTGTTTGCACATGAGCAGCAACAGGAAGAGGAAGGCAGGCAAGCCGAGCATGATGAGAAACGCACCTGCAAACACCGGGGACCATTTGAGGTTCCAATTTCAGTCCAGTCGATCCAGTGCTTTCACTTTTCTGAGGCAGAACCAAAGGCCAGCTAAGCGTCTGACCCTGCTAAGGAATCATCAGCAACGCCTCACCCCTATGGTGCCCGGGGGGCAAGCGCCCGCAGGCACAGAGACCAGCGGGGACAACGGTCCCCCTCACAGACCAGGCTTCATGGCATTTCAAGTCCTGCCACACGGGAGCAGACAGGGCGAGATGCCAGCAACCCAGCCATTGGAACATCTAAAATTCATGAACCTCCTCATAGAAAAGCTAGCAAACATCCTGTCCCCAAGCTTCAGAACTGGGCCAGTGCCCCATGCACAGAGCACACGCAAACACGGTGACGGGGAGGACACCGTCGCTCGCAGCCCAGCCAGCCCAGTTACAGCTACGATCCTCCCGGCCACAAAGCCAGGCAGGACTCTGAACCTGTGGGTCCCGAGTGGTTTCTTTTACATGAAATGGCATCATTTTCAAATTATGACCTACTTCAAAACACTGAGCGCTAGAACACCTGAGACCCTGGGTGCTCGTGGCCCTGCCGGGCAGCTCAGGCACCCACCCCTGCCCGCGGCCACCGCTGTGCTTGGACTCCGTTGTCCTCCGCCTACCCTTCCCACACCAGCCTTCCCTTTACCTGCTGCATTTCTTTGTTCAAAACCACAAGCAGGTTGCCTGAAGCTTTAAGTACAGCCACATGGGCACCCTCTCCACTCTAGGACAATCGTCAAAAATGCTCCCACTGCAGCCCTTTGCACCTGCTATGCCTTCTGCCTGGAGGGCTCCTCCCCAGGATCCCACGGGGCTCACACTCCTGCAGAAGGAGGCCCTCCCTCCCCCGCACCACCCCACAGAGCTCACTGCCACTGCCACCGCCCCGGCCACCGTCACCACCCTCCCCGTGCTAAGCCAGAGCAGCCGCCTACCAGGGACTCCACCGAACTCCAGGGCCTTGGCCTGCGTGGCCGGCTCTTCAGAAGTTTTCCATAATGTAGATCCTTTTGTTGCAACAATGTTTTCTTCCTTAGAATCTATGTCTTTTAATTTGATCTCTTCTCTTCTTGGCCGAAGGCTATACTGTGTAGATATGTAATGACTTTCTTCCGACAAATGGAATTTTTCCTAATTAGAAAATAGAAAATAGGAAATGTTTACAGTCAATAATTATCATTAATGTTACCCCATTAACTGACTCAGCATCTTAATATAGCCGCTCACTAACAAGAAGAAATCTGTTAAATGACATTCAGTCCTAATTTATTTAAGGACAGAATTTTAGAAGAGATTGTAAGATTATGGTATACAGTGTGACTCTCGAGAGAAAGTCACATTTACGAAGAGATCAAGTGCCAGAGATGAGAAGGACGTACCTCAGTGTTTCTGGGGGGCAGGCCGTCCCTCTCTGTGTGCTCAGGCTCCCCGTTGTATCTGCTGAGGCTGTTCCCAAATGGCTTCTAAGGTGAACACAAACCGTTATAAACATAAGAATCGTACCTTATTAAAGAGACCATTGTGACAAAAATTTGCTATTATGAAATCAAACAATAAAATAAACCAAAGATTCTCACAGCTTCGATTCTAAAAGATTTCAACATACTTTTGTTAAAAAGGAAAAGGAATAAAATTGATGAGAATTTCCCAGTCGGAAAGGATTGGATTTTACAGTATAGCTCTCTATGTGAGATCTTTCATCTTTTAAACATAGACTGTTACAGTGTCATTGTCCAATGGCAGACACTCTAATATTCACTATGAGTTAGATAAAGTAAAAACTGGTCAATCAGTTCCCTGAGTGCTTGGGCGGGGTGGGGCGCACCCACATTCACTGCCCCCAAATAGCCACCAAGGGGAAACTAAGACATGGTGGGTACTCCGGGAGGGTCACCAGCAACCTGCAGACCGCCCCCCGCTGCCTGGTTTCTACAGAGCCCCAAGCTCCCACTGCCTGTGTCCCTCTCCTCAAACCTGCCTCCCCTTTAGGCAGCAGAGGGAATGCATCACCGGACCAAACTGGGGAAGTGGTCCAGGGCTCTGCTGGCAAGGAGCACAGCCAGTCTGTGGCTCTTGGGTCACCAGGGCTGTAAGAAAGTCACATTGTAAACACGAGGGGGCACTAAATGCTAAAAATGAAAAAGTGACAGAAAGGAGCACGCAGCATCTGTTCCTTAACATGTGTCCCCTGGCGGGCCCTGAGCACCGTTAACCGGCAGAAGATTCAAGCTCCCCAGTAATCCTCAAAAGCAAGGGAAAGGGGCGAGCTGACAGTATATGGCAATCAAACTGACCCAAAAAGTCACCACTAGCATTCTCCAGATGAGAAAACGGGCATTCACACACTGGGGCTGCTGGGAGAAACCTTGAGACAATTCAGCCACACGCAGCAAAGCCTCAGATCCGCTCCACCATCTGACCTGGAATTCCGCACCTAAACACCGACGTTTGTGAAACCTCAGATGCTGTATAAGAGTAGTTGTTTACAACAGTGAAAATGCCAAGGAAAAGCGAAATGCCGATCAATAAGGGAGCTGATGCTGACAATCACATCACGTCCATATGATTCACGCACAGCCAAACGACTCTATACAGCAAACGATGTACGAAAATATAACTCAGGTTATTCTTAATGTTTTAAAATTTAAAAATCTGACTATAAAACTGTGTACCTAAATCCAGTTTCTTAGGGTTATTAAAAATCTGTGTGCATTTTACCCAGAAAAGAGATAATAGTAAGTGAAGAGAATAAAAGATCATCTTTATTCAGTCTTTTCCTTCAAAATCATTTCCATTTGGCCTACCATCTGAGACATCCTCGTGCGTGGGCCCGTAGCTCCTGCACACCGACCTTTCCGAGCTTCAGCTCAGAAAGCAATTCCGTTAAAATTATGATGCCCAGTAATGATGCCAAGACCAAGGACATGTTTTTGTAAAACACGGTTTCCTTATTTTACACAAGCACTTTTTCAGTTCAACCTACAATCTACATCTACGTCAAATTTAAACCCTGCTTTTTTTAAAGTCCCGATACTAAACCGCACTCCTGTAACAGAGCACTCTCTTGCACTGGTGTTCACAAGTACTGTACTTCCCGTTCTTCCAGCGGGTCACGCACTCTTCCACAGTCATCACCTTAGATGCCACGCGTCCCTGCCCCGTCGGCACGACTCACTGCGGCCTGAGTAAGCACGCACACGAAGGGAAGACAGTTTGGGACCGAACCCCGGACACGGGTGCAGGCCTCCCGCGGGCCCGACTACACGCACCAGCACCAGCGGAGTCAGCTTCACTTCCAGGACTTCCTTCCTCATCTCCTTTATGTCAGCCTGGTGTGAAGCAGAGGCGGATCGACGGGAACTCCTCGGTGGTCGACCGGGGGATCGGGAGCGCGACCTTGACCTACTCCCTCGGCGTCTGGAGGGAGAACTGGAAGTTGAGCCACTTTTCCTTTGTCGAAAGGAAGTTAAAGGCTAGAGAGGGATGAGAAGGCACAGAGCTTTAGCACAAGACAGACCTGAAGGAGAAGAGGGTGCAAAGCATGCCTAGTACCATCAACTCCGCGATCACCCCGGGGCCTCAGGGCAGCCGAGAGCCCACTGGACCAGGCCAGCCAGACGCTGCTGTAGTGGCCTACCTCCCACGGGACACGCAAGGCCTTTCTCAGAAGGTCCTGAGCGGGATGGATGTGTGCAAGCCAACTACCTGTGCGCTCTGCCGACGGCACCTTCAAGAGCAGCAGCCCCTGACACTGAGTCAAACTGAGACAAGGGGACAAGTGAACCGCACCCAGCACCACGAACCCTAGCCCCCAGGGGCACTCGCAATAGCCACCCGGGAGGATCTGGAAAGCGGGGCCGCGGCTGGGCGACTCAGCAACACCTCCTTCTGCCCTCCTCTCTCCCACCTGACTCTGTGTGGCCCAGCAGCTAGGAATGGCTTTACTGTTTGTAAATGATGCCAAACAAAAACAGAAGAAACGTGAACCTTTGTGACCCGTGGGAAATACTTTAAATTCTCACTCCAGTGCCCATTAATAGTTTCATCAGAAAACAGCCATGTCCCCTCACGTCCCGACTACGTGAGCTGCTCTCGCACTAAAGAAACCACACGGCCCGTAATGCCTAAAACCATCACTATTTGGCTTTTGGTTCAAAAGCTTTGCCAACCCCGGGCCAGAGTACTCAGACTGTGGTTCAGAGGCTGTGGGTTCAAGAACTGTTTCTCACATCTACAACCAAAAACGAAATTGAGACTAGACGTGTAGAAGTCTTCATAGCATTTCGACAATGTGATTTTACACCTGTCGGATCTAGTGCCGCAAAGTCAGGGTTTTTACCGCACATCTGTCTTCCAAGTGTCCGGCAAGTCACTTCTATGGTATTTCACGTAAGCACTTCCACACCACAGAGCAGATCATTTAAAGCCCGGCCCCCCCACCAGAGAGGCTGAGAAGCCCTGGGCCAGACCTAAATCTAATTACTGTCACTCTTCTGATGAAATCCTCGGTGCTCGCGATGAAGCCCACATCTCTCCAGTTTTGCTCCTGTTAATCCTGGGCTGGCCCTCACCCCCTGCACACTTGGCCACCTGTGTCCGCACCCACCTCCCACCCCCCGGCCAAGCCTCTGGCCAGAGCCGTGAGTTCTCCCTATTTGGCCTCAGCACCCCCAGTGCTCTCTGCAAGCCCTCCCTGAGACCCCACACACACCAGCACCACCCACCAAACTTCCCTCACCAAAGGCATGACACGATCACGGAAGCAGGAGCTTCTGGGACCAGGATACCACGACGCACTTGTGTCTCCCCAACCTGAAGCCCAAGTGTGGCCCTGTACCTCCACCTGGAGCCAGGCCTAACCGCTGTACGGCTAAAAACACACCACCAGTCACCTCCCCATCTAGAAACAGACTCTGGCAAAGCAACGGAGCACTTACCTTGATATCATTCTCCTTCAGCTCAAGTTCAGTGCCGTCTTTGTACTTGACGGTGTAGAGCTGGGACTGGCTGTCATGGCTCAGAATTTCAACTTCATAGTAAAGCGAACTCCCAGGCCACCGACCTCTCACCACCTCGCCATCAGCAAATTTCCTACTTGGCATTTTGAAAAATCAGCCTGAATGGTTTAAAAGAAAAAACAAGGAGTCACTACATCCACACTCACATGTGTCTTTCTTCCACAGACTGAACACTAAAAAACATCTTTCCAAAGTGTTTAACTGGCAGAGATTTTAGGACCAGAAAAGGCTCCTGGAGCAGCGGGGAGGGGAGGATGTCTGAGCCCTTACTCCAAAGGGGAGAACAAAGTACCAAGGACATGAGAACAGGCAGCACGAAATGGCAGAGTGAGGCTGTTGTTTCCGCTAGGGCGTATTTCACCTGGAGTCACTTTACACAGGGCGCTCTTGCCACCGCGGCACCTGCCGGTGACACGAACATGCAGCGGGACAGAAAGGCACCAAGCAGTTTGCACTCTGCAAAATGCTATCACCCGAGTGACCAGACTTCTTGCTACTCAACAAGGCACGTCACAAAGGACACATTTCCTGATTTATAAATCCACACACAGGGCACCCTGCTGAGCCCTGTGACTCTTCATCTCTGGGTTGTGAGTTCAAGCCCCACACTGGGCACAGAGCTTACTGTAAATAGATAGATAAATAAATTTGTATATAGTCTTACAAAGGCTTTAAAACCTTATTTAATTTTGGGGGCGCTTGGGTAGCTCAGTCAGTGAAACATCTGCCTTCAACTGAGGTCATGACCTCAGGGTCCTGGGATCGAGCCCCACAGTGGACTTCCTGCTCAGTGGGGAGTCTGGTTCTCACTCCCTCTGCTACTCTCCCTGTTTGTGTTCTCTCTCTCTCACTCACACAAACAAATAAATAAAATCTTTAAAAAAAAAAAAGTGTTTCATTTTTAACACATTACCTCTATTAAAAACAATAAATTCTAAGAAACCAGCCATCTGGGAAAATCAAGGAGGTATAACTAACATTACTATAAGCCACCAACAAGGAAAAAATTATTTCAAACTCATAACGAATAGCAAATGTGGGGTGCTTTCATAAAGTTTTCAAGTCTTACAGCTAAAATCCCAAACACACTCCAGCAGATCTGCCGACCACACACGGGTGGGCGCACACCCACTCGCAGCCGGCATCCACCCTCAGTTCCCACGTTCCTTTCCACATGGCCCCAGAGCCACGTTTCAACCACTCCAAGAAACCAGACGCAGTCAGCGGGGATGACCACTTATGGGAGGCCTGCTGGCCACCCTTCCTCAATTATCAAGGAGGGCTGGGTGCTGGGTACTTCCAGCTCTCGGGCAGCACTCTTTCCCCATCAACTGAGCAGCAGAGTCCCGCTGCCCTGGGACAAAACTGAGTGCCGCCCCACCTCCTTCTGCATCAGCAGCTCAGCAGGCTGGGGGCCTCATCTAAGGAGGGAAATGCTCCCCCATCTCCTCCTTCGGCCAGCTGGCCAGCCCCGCTAGCCGGTCCGGCCCCGAAGCCTGCCGCTCAGCCGGGTGCGGTCAAGACCCGATTGCACCAGGCCGCATGGGCACGCCAGCAGCTCTCCGGAGTTAGGAAAGGGCGAAGCGGCGTTACCCCACCCCTCCAGCGGGAAACCTTTCATAAGCACATTTCCCCACTGTTAATTGCCTGAGAAAATACTTCACAAACTTCACTTGTTTAGAAAGATAGCAGCCAGGCTGGGAGATGAAAGCAAACCCAGCCACTTATCCAGTGATTAGAGGGTGTCAGTCCAGCACACGCGAGCGGAGAGGGTGCTCTGGGTCGGCGCCTGCCTGAGATAGCATCGCGGGCTAATGAGGGGGTGTGGGCTCGGACCAGGGGAGAGGAGCCAGAAGCTTCAGTGCTGAAGTCACAGCCGGCTGAGGTGGCATCTCAGGGGCACTTGGCAAGCAGGGGGCAGTGGACGCCTTGGGCCATGGAGGAGGGGGACAAAAGGGAAGGTGACAACGGCAAACCTTGCCTGTTTCAACGTTCAGGTGCGAGTGCCTCTCAATACTAAGAAAGAGGAAGGAAATGTGCACTTCTTCTCTCTTCTCTTGTGCCCCTCCACCTCCCCGGACCCCCTAAAATCAAACCACTGTTACTGGTACTGATGTCCAGAGGCTGGTCAGCCGGGGTTGGGAGAAGACAACTGTATCTTTGTCCACGAAGACGCCATTCCAGTTTGAAACAACTCTCCAGAGACTTAAAAAGCCTCTGGAGCACACACTGTACCTTTCTGAACCTTTATTTATTGCCATCTGTTAGCCAATTAAATATTTTGGGTCACACAAATTAAGATATGTTATGGATATCTGTTAGGTTGCTAAGCTTAATTTAAAAAAAAAAAAAAAAAAAAAACTAAGACTTGGAACTCACAGCGATGTTTTCACTGGTGGCCGAGGAAGCCAGCCCTCTCCTTAGGAGACCTCTGTGGTGTCAACAAATGTTCCAGAAGATGAAACCACAACACTGTGCGCACCTCCACTTTGCCCAAGCTCCTCCCACCCTGGTGACAGCACGGCCACCTTCCAACAGACTCCTCTGCAGGGTGAGTCCACCAAGATGGGACACCCCAGCCTCACTGCCGCAATGCATGAGGTCCAGACCCACCGGGAAAGGCTTCATTCAGAAGGGACATTTCAGCCCAGTGGAAAGGAAAAGCTTGTTTACTGAGAGGCTTTTTGCTGTGAAGCCACACGCTTACTAACTTCCCTGTCAGTTAGCGTAGAATCCTCACACATTTGAGCTGCGACTTGTTACTATTTATCAAGCCCACAGCCCTCTGCCCATGGAGACCACATGGTTACAAGGGTGTCCGGTTCTCTTTCCCTCACTTTCCCAAACCAGTCCAAATCCGGCTGAGAAAGGGAAGCTCAAAGGAAGTCTGACAGCTTCCGTTGCACACCAGCTTCCCTTGCACACCAGGGCCCAGGGCCCAAGGCCAGCCAGGCAAATGCCTGCCCCTGCCCCCCGCCCCCTGCCCGGGCTGTAGGACACCTAGGAGACACCACCGCCCAGGCCTGCCCACCGCCCAGGCCTGCCTGGGCAGACCGCCCGACCCCCCTAAGCAATCTGAACACGCCAAGGTAAGGTCCATTCCCTTGCGGCTCCCTCTTACCCCTCCTCCCCTGACAGCTCTCGGAAACAAGCTGGGCGGCCGGTGCTCTGTCCACACCTGCCCTCTCTGGCCCTGCGACGCCGGTCTCTCTGCCACAGCTACTGCCACGGAGGCCGGGCACTCGCACACGCGTGCACGCGGCGCGGGGTTGACGCCGCAGGTGCGACAGGTGAGCGCGGACGCGGTGGGGGGGGGCGGTCCGGAGCGCCCCCGCCCGAGCGCCAGACCAGGCCCCTCCGCGCTCAGGTCTTAGAAATGCCGCTTGAGGCCGCGGGCCGGTGTCACAAGGGCTTTTTTTAAAAGCCTTAAAACGGAGAAAACACAGGATCGAGCGCGCACAGCCCGCTTCACTATCCGCTTTCAGAGCGTGGGAGTCCGGGAGCGGGTGACAGCGAAGGCGGACGGCAGCCGCGCCCTGTCCCCGTCCACGCATCCCTCGTCCCCGCAACCCCCCATGTCCCCGTCCCGCCCGCCGGGCTCCCTATCCCCATCAGCGCATCCCTAGTCCCCACGTCCCCCGCGTCTCCGCCCCCGTCAGTGCATCCCCCGTCTCCGCGCCTTCCCCCAGCCCCCGTCCTGCCCGCCCGGCTCCCTTGTCCCCACGTGTCCCCCGTCCCCGTCAGCGCATCCCCTGTCCCCACGTCCCCCGTCCCAGTCAGCGCATCCCTCGTCCCCGCGCCGCTCCGAGTACCCGTCCAGACCGCCGGGCTCCCCCGTGTCCCCCGTCCTCGTCAATACATCCCCCATCAGCGCCGCCCCAGTCCCCCGTCCCGCCCGCAGGGCTCCCCCGTCCCCCGAGACCCCGTACCCGTACCCCCCGTCACCCCCCCAAGCCCCCGTCCCCGTCAGCGCATCCCCCGTCCCCGTGACCCGAGTCCCGAGTCCCGCCCGCCCAGGCTCCCCCGTCCCCCAGTCTCCCATCCCCGTCAGCGCGTCCCCGTCCCTGCCGTGGCCGCACCCAGGGGCCCCAGGCCCACCACCGCCGCCCTCCCGGCCGACACCGCCGCGGCTCGCCCAAAATGGAGGGAGGCGCCGGCGATTTCCACCTCCGCTCCACTTCCGCCGCGGCGGGGCCGACCCCCTGCAGGGGAAGCCGGGGCCGCGCATCCCCTGCCCCCGCACCCGGACGCCGCGCCGCGCTGGGCGGCGGGCACGGGGACGCTCACCTGCGCCGGGCTCCGGCGGGACGTGAACGGCTCCGGGACAGTAGCCGAGCAGCCCCCGCGTCGGTTCCGCGCGCACGCCGCCGCCCGTCTCGCCCGCGCCCGCGCCCGAGCCCGCGCCCCCTCCCTCGAGCGCGCGCCTCGCCGCGCCCCCGCCCCGCCCCCCAGCGAGGCCACCCCGGTCTCCCATTGGCCCCCCGGCCTTTTGAATCGTCCCCGGCGCCGCCGATTGGTCGTGCGCGTGGCGCGTCCGCCCCGCCCGGCCTGCCCGCGGAGAAGGGGAGGAGGCGGGGCGCGGAGCCGGGCGGACCCGGACGGTCCGCCCCGCGCCCGCCTTATCGCGGCAGCCCAGACGCCGCGCCCCCGCCCCGCCCCTGCGCCGCTGCCCGGCTCTGCGAGGCGCTGCGCACTTCGAGCTGCGGGCCTGCCTGGCCAAGGAGATAATAAGAAGCTGCAAAGAAAACAATCAATCCTCGCGGTGACCAGTCCAGACCAACTGTCCGGGGCCGCAGGTGCTTCCTGCGAAGACGCTGGCAGAGCTCTGCCAACCGTGCTGAGGGTCTGCGGCCCCCCGCGCGGGCTGCGCCCCAATAAGCGCAGGGCTCCTTTGTCCTGAAGGCGGCGGGACCTGGCCTGGGCCGCGAGCCGGCGGGCGGGGGGGGGGGGGGCGGTGCAGCGACCGGAGCGGGGGACAGCGGTGGCGCGGGGGCCGGGGCGCCCGGGGGCCGGGGGTCCTGGCCGGAGGTGCCAGAAAGTACGCAGTAATGTGCGCGCCGGGGACAGAAAACTCTTGCCCTGAGCGCTGGCTACCACCCGCATCCCACAAGTCTGGTGTTAACTGGCCTGCGAAGTGCCTGTCGTTAAGTTAACTCCGAATCTGGTGCGGATCCTAAACCTTTATTTTCTCCAAGTTATATTATTCGTTAGTTGGTTTCCTTCCTTTGAGCTTGAGAGTTTAAAGAAGTCCACTGAAGGAGCACCTGGGTGGCTCAGTGGGTTAAAGCCTCTGCCTTCGGCTCAGGTCATGATCCCAGGGTCCTAGGATTGAGTCCCGCGTTGGGCTCTCTGCTCAGCAGGGAGCCTGCTTCCTTCTCTCTCTCTGCCTGCCTCTCTGCCTACTTGCGATCTCTGTCAAATAAATTAAAAAAAAAAAAAAAAAAAAGTCCACTGAAGTTCCCCGTTTTGGCAGTGTGGTGGTCTTCAAGTATTTGTTAACCCGACACTAAGCTAGCCTAATTTAACTAGGTTAATTTAAGTGAATTTCAATTTTGAAAACACTGTTGCTTAAATTATAGTAATAAACAGGCCTTTGCATTGAAAATGCAGCTTTGGCCTCAGGAGTTCTCGTTTTCTCACATTTATAAACTACAAGACACTCAAGTATACTACGTTTAAAAAAAGAAAGAAAGAAAAGTTAATACATTGAGCTTCCTCAGACACTCACATCCAGTGCAAAAGTTTTCATCAGAGCCTTTCCAGAAAACAAGTTCTGATATCCAGTTGTCTTCATGGTCATGGAATTTTCATGGACACTTGAGCTCGAAATAGCCACACTGCACTCCAAAGTCAGAAAACCTGATTTTTGGTAAAGCTGTAGGCCCGCATTGTCCCAACGTTTAAGGCAAGATAACACTGACCCTGTCTCATTTTTTTGCAGCAGAAATTAAAGTGCTATTCCAGGTATAAGGGGCCCTAAGGTAGTCACTGTTCCTAATGGTCACACAGCACTGTGACCATGTGCTGGTGACAGATGACTGGTTCTCATCTGTCCTTCCCAGGACCAGGATTTCAGAGAACTTCCCTTGAGAAACATATTTGCATTTCCTGGATCAGTTCCGTCTGTGAAATAAAAGATTCTCTTAAAAAAACACACACACTTCGCTTTCTAAAAAGTGAGGTTTACCAAGCCTCATGACAAAATGAAGTTAAAAGATTGTAAATCACTAGAATGAGCTGAGTTAACATTCTACCTTATAAATGACCAAAAACGTTTTTCAAAACAACTGATTTTGACATCGGAGAAAGTAAGCAATACTTACTGTTTATTTCTAGTTAGTAGACAGAAGGACGTTGTGAAAAATCAGATTGATACCTAGGTTAGTTTCTCAATAAAGGAAGGGTTGGTATGTTGTTCCTCTCAGGTTTCCTCTAGAGACTACTAAAAGTGTGTATACTGGGGAGTGGAGAGTTTCTAGGATTAGTTCTCAGAGAGATGCTTGTCAACCACAATTAGCCAGTTGTGGATTTTCAGAAAATACCAAGTCAGAGTCACTCACAGAGCCATGTCTTGGCACTGCTGTCGTTAATATAGCTGTGAGTGGCACAGTCCCCTCCCCCACTGGCAAGGAAAATGAGGCTGTGGGGAAGAAAAGCTCCTGGCCTGGGCCACTGCCATAGCCAGAGACCACACCTGGGGCCAGGAAACCTTGCAGGGGAAACAGGAGCCTCAGGTGGTGCGATCCCCCATGGGGGGGTCTTTGCTTCTGCTTCCCAGAGGGTGTGGACTAGGAGGACTGATACAGTCCTTTTGAAAAAGAGGTCTAGACACAATTTCATGTGGTATGCGGAAATCCAGTTAGACTACTTGGGCACTGTTTTGTTGGTTTTGTTTAAAGATTTTTTTTTTAAATTTGAGAATGAGAGAAGGTGCATATAGGAGGAAGGGGAGGCAGAGGGAGAGGGGGAAGCAGACTCCCCACTGAGCAGGGAGCCTGGGATCACGATCTGAGCCCAAGGCAGACACTTAACCGACTGAGCCACTCAGGCGCCCCGGTCCTGTTTTATAAGGAAAAAGCTGTTGGACACTGGAGGTGCAGAAAGCCTTTCATGACATGGACGTACCCCAGGGGCCATCTGATAGCACATTTCTACCATGGTGTTTGATCTGAATCATTCCTATTCACAGAAACAGAGTTCGTGGTTACCACCATGGAGTAAGTCAGTCCATCTCAATAACAATGACCTTTTCATCTTTATTTGAAACACTTAGACACTTACAACCATTTGTAGCACTCCTCTGCTTCTTTTTTCTTACTGTTTCACTATCAGAAGGGGCGGCGTTGAAGGCATGGACCCAAGTACCCGGCTCTCCTCAGCTTCATTGGAAGAACTGAAACAAAGGACTATCTTAAGCAATTCAGTATGAATATGTGATTTTTTTCTGCCCCAGTATTCAGGCTACACACTACCAAGAGCTGTTAGATCCGTACTCAAGCCAGCTCTGTACAAGTTTCAAATACATCTATGTCCATGATGCTCTAAAAACATAGAATCACATGTACCTGTCACTTATGGAGGGGTGTGTTCTGAATTAAAATGATTCACCAGACTCCTGTGCTCCAAATAGGTGTTAGGTTGTGCAACCAATGAGGAGGCTCTTGCTTCAAATATAGTGAAGAAGTGTAAAATGATTATGCAAATTTTATTTTGCATAATTAATTTATACAAATTAAAATTATGTTTAAAATATTAGGCTCCATCTCAAATATTTTATATCGTCACCCTCAAACATGTTTTACACAGATCTGATTGCACCGGATATCGTAGGAAACGAAGATTACTGTGATCTAAAAGTGAGTCTTCAAAGGTGGGTGCTGGGAAGGTGGTCCTTCAGAGCCCAGATTTGGGGCATCAGAATTAAGAGTCCTGGAGGAGGGGTGCCTGGGGGGAACAGGCACTTGATTTTGGCTCAGGTCACAGTCACTTTGTCCACGGTATTTGTCCTTTTGTGACTGGTTTGTCCCACTCAGCACGATGTCCTCAGGGTTCATCCATGGGGTAGCAGGTGTCAGAATTTGCTTCCAGTTAAAGACAGGGCGATATGCCCTTGTATGTACATGGCATGTTTTGCTTATCCACTCATCTAGTCAGAGACATGTACACTGCTTCCATTTCTCATCTCCCGTAAATAAAGCTGCAGTGAACCCAGGTGCAGAAGTCTGGCTGCTCTTCGCGGGATATATACACCCAGAAGAGGAATTGCTGGATCATATGGTAATTTTACAAGCTGCTGACCACAGCGGCTATGCCCATTTTTATATTTCCACCAACAGTGCCCTAAGTTTCCAATGTCTCCACAGCCTCACCAACACTTGCTCTTTTCTGGTTTTTGCTTTTATTATTATTATTTTTTTAAGTACCCATCCTGATGGGGGGAAACCGATCCTACCAATGTGCTCATAAAATAAATATTTGTTATTTTAAAATAATTTTATTATATCATACATGCTTAGTCAACCCCACAGGACACCCTGCAAATTCTGACTTAGATTAAGCACGATTGCTCAAAGATACTCAGTGGTATTTGTGCCATGAATTTTTGGGTTTTTTGGTTTTTGTTTTTTGGGGGTTTTTGCACAGCACGAGATGGGTTCCAGCACAGCGTAGTTCAAAATCTTGCTAAAGTCTTGAGGCCAAAGCTGAGAGTGAGAAAAATGCTGGCAAGCGTGTGAAGAACTCTTCCAATTTCCTCAGGAAAATACGATTTGAGAAGAGCTGAAATACAAAATGTTAACAAAAGTAAATTACCATAAAAGCACACTGTTGGCTTGAGTCACTTCATCTCGGTGTAAGTGAGGCAGGGTGGGGGAGAGCCAGCCTCGTGGGACTGTCCTTTGCAAAATTAGAACATTTCTCCGAGGGGAACTCTGTTGTTAGCAAATGCTGGGGAAGCCACAATTAACCCACCCGGGTTTCCAAGGAGGAGAGACACATGTCAGACCCTGTGAACTGCACCCAGTTTTGCAGAGCGAGTGTTTTGGACACATAAGCACACTGGACTCAGTGTTACATCTTCCTTTGAAATACACACAAGTGGGGGGCGAACATCTGACTCTTCTCGTCAGCTCAGGTCATGATCTCGGGGTTCTGGGATCAAGTCCCACGTTGGACTCCGTGCTCGGCGGGGAGCCTGCTTCTCCCTCTGCCTGCCGCTCCCCCTGCTTGTGCGCTCTCTCTCTCTAAAATGAATAAATAAATAAATAAATTAAATATTTAAAAACATATATACGCACAGGGAAATAGTAGCCAAGGGAGAGGACGGCTCTCTTTCAATTCCAAGAGTCCACG